TATGTAAAGTCATCAGGAAGATGAGAAAGAATATCTAGAATGGTACGGGTATGTACTTAAAAAAAACATATAAATGTAATAGTTCGAAGAAACAAAATGATTAATGTTAGTGGTAGGAGTAAGATATAAAAAAAAAATCTTAAGAAAAACTATAAATAAAATTTTAAATACTTTAAACTTAACTAAAAATATAATATTTTTATAAATCTCAAATATAAGGGACTTACGATCTCAAATAATCATACAACACTACCAAACACTTTATATGGTGGGTGTCATACTAAGTCATCCAAAGCTTATGAGTCAAGTCAGAATTTGAATAGTGTGCAGTGAACGCAAAGTTCTTTTATTTTACTTCCAATCAGATTTTATTCTTTTTAAGAGAAAGATTTATATAGTTTAATATTTCTTGTCTATATCTATAGATAAAATTAGAAAAAATATTTTCTCATCATCTATCTCCCTATATGCACTAGAAAGAATTTTAGGAGTGCTCAAAATATTTCATCATATCTTACTCTTATTAACACCTAATGATATAAGATATATTTATGAAAATTAAAATTCTAATTCATAAGGTTTCTTTCCTTCCCAGCAAAATCATTTCCATGCTGGGATTCCTTGGAATACTTAGGCTCCAAGAATCCAAAAATATTTTGTAACCCAACAGATGATAGAAGTTGGTTATAGAAGAAGCTGCTAATGATCAAAGATAGGTGCACAGATTTATTAACTTGGTCATGGCAGGAGGCACTCACTCTCAGTGGCAGGGTTAGTAATCTTAAGATGCTCCTACAAATGCATGAGTTGCATATGTGATTGCAATTCATCAATCATAGACAGTAGGAGATCTGCAACATTCTAAGTTTACCCAATTAGTCATAGATCTGAAGTTTATCCAAAATTTAGCTTCCCATGGCATCATCATCTGTGAATCAAAGCTTTACACAATCTCGCAGGTCTTTCTTTTCTGTGGATTTCATCCCATGCACACCTGATACTGAAACTATTAGATACTGCATTGATTGAAGGTTGTATCTGCCATGATGAAGTGGCAGTCATCACCAGGGAGAATGATCATTGTGATGACAACCATGATGACACGAACAATAAAGAAAGAATGTAGCTATTTACAAATCTTGGCTTCTAAGGAATGGCAACAGGATATCTCTTTTGCATATTTCATTCTCTGCAAGGTGATGGCATAAACCCCACTACCATTCTCTGGTTTTGTGGATATAAAAGCACCATCCACTGCATCATTCTCCTTTCATGCTTCCTGGATCGTGGTGACAAAGTTCATCAAGTTGGACTTCCACATGCAAACTATTCCATCCGCTTGAGATGAAAGAACGAAAGGAAGGAAGCAATGTTGGACTTTGCATTCGAATCAAATACAGATGAGAGATCCATTCAAAAGCTAATGTGGTAGTTGGAAATTTTGGTGGAAAATTAATGAACTTTAACGAAGAATAGTAGAGGAGAATAATAAATACACTCAAAAGTAAAGACTTTCATTCATAACAATCTCAGCTTACTTTTGAGACTATTATTCTTGCTTTCACAGTTCATGTTATCAATGCCACTCCAATCTATTTCTTCTATGTCACCTGAGATGACACCTACATGTTCTGAAAGAAAGCATGATAATTAAGTAATCAGAAAGCACTTGCATGAAGCTAGTTTAGGTTTACTGAAAAGCCAACACATCCTTACATGAGATCTCTTGTTTAGTTGGTGGCAAACATTTCCATTAGTTTAGGATGATGGAAGTGGTAGAGACTTGAGAAGGAATGGAAAAGAAGAACCAAGCTAATTAAAAGCTAAACCAACATCAGTAATATAATTTCATGTTTGAAATAAGGATCTCAATGCTCCATGCAATTATTGTGATTAATTTTTTTGTTGGACTTTGGTGAATGGCATATGTCTACAACTCTTTAAATTAGTGGAGAGAGCAAGTACTAGTTTCCAAACTAAATTAATGATTATAATTCAATTATGTCTTTGTCTCTTTGGGACCTCATATTATTTCAATTGCCAATGATGGCTTGGTTGGAGCAATGTCACTTTCAGAGCTGCATTTTGATTTGAAAGAAAAGACATTTATGCTTTCTACTTCCATTTTGTCCCCATGGGCTATGGCTTTTGATGTGAGTGGCATTGTGAAGCCACTAAAAATAAACTACTACACTGCTGCAAAAATAAAAGAAATTAGTATAGAATAAACCTAATTCAATCTAATTTATTGGATCAAACAACAATAATGTCTTAATTATTTGGGGTCAACAACATGAATACTTTTTTCATTATTAAGTTTTGTATAAGACAATATCCTTAATTAAATCAAGAATGTTTAGATTTTCATTTGTAGATATTATCATTATAATCTTTCCACATCTCCTACATCTACTTATACTACAACTACTAATTGCCCCATCCTATTTAACTACAAGATCTATAGACCTTGTTAAAACATATTTCTTCTTTATTTTATTTACTATTATAGATATATTTAATTGTAAATTTATTGGATGTAGACACTAAAAATCCATGCATTGATGTAGTTATTGTCCTATAGGAGAAAAAAAAAGAGGTAAAAAGAAAGAATTGATTAAAGTCAGTTGGAGTGTCACTCTTTAGATCTTGTTTTGATGATCGATAGTGATCATGGAAATTGCATACATTCTATTTATGTTGTGTATGACTTGGCAATATCCATGCTCAAGCTTAATGTTGATGCTACATTTCTCTTTCTCCTTATTCTTGCTTAATTAACAAAGGTGCTCAAGAAATGTCGTAGAGATTGATGGTAATGCACACCTAACATTCAACATATCTGACAAATTAGTCTTGAAAACTTCATCCCATGTATAGTGATGATAGCAACTATTTAATTTAGCATTTCTTTCTTTTCTCTCTCTTAAGAAGAACCATTAATATGCTTCTATGGTCGATCTATTATCTAAATGCATGGACTTTAATAAATATAATCATGGCAAAAGGTTCCTTTTTCATTGCATAAATGCTGCATTAAAATTAACAAAATGCATATATCTTTTTTTTTCCTTTAAAATGTCTATATGCATAACAAGATTTATTTTAAATGTTATTATGATATAAAAAACTGTCCATTGTGATATAAAATGATAAATCATCAATGTGCATAAAACACTGCCGATAAATTCGTATAATTAAAACAAAATTACAAATGCACCTTTGGAGATGAAAATGTTTTTATGTAACAAGTAAAGGTTAGCATAATGTCAATGGTAATACCATATAAAGTGATAAATGATCAATGTGCATAAAACATCCCCGATAAATTTGTATAATTAAAACAAAATTACAAATGCACCTCTCCATAATTTAACCCATGCCAAAAAACTTTGAGATAAAAACGTTTTTATGTAAGAATTAAAGGTTAGCATAATGTGAATGGTAATGTCCACTGTGATATAAATTGATAAATGATCAATGTGCATAAACACCCCATAAAATTAAAACAAAATTACAAATGCACCTCTCCATAATTTAACCCACACCAAAAAACTTTGAGATGAAAATTCTTTTATGTAAGAATTAATTATATGGTAATAAACAAGTGGTCTAAGGAAAAAAAGAAGAAGAATATATTACATTTTCTCGTCGATAGGACTAACAACTAAATGAAGTTTTGTTTGTCTTGCTATGCTCCTCCTCTTATGATGAGGACAAAGAAGTTGCTCAATTTCTTGCCTCCTACTAATAAAAAAGAAATATTTCCAATTCAATACCTAAAAGAGATAAATATATAATTAATTTGTACGCATATACATATGTAAAAAAATAAAAAAATACATTAAATTTAGCTAATGATAAGCCAAGAATATTTGCATCAATATCATTACATTTAAGTGAGGCCTAACAAATTTAAAATTTTTAGGTAAAATAATATCCATAAATAAAAAAAGATAAAAAAATAGAATATGTATTTTTTTAAAAAAAATCGATCAATCTCTTTGGTTACTAAGATTCACTTAATACAAATAAAATAAAAATATTGTTTATGTGAAGTTAATGCATAGAAAAGATATATAGCCTTTCATAAACTACATTAAAAGTCAATAATTGACCATCCATGATCAGTCTCGTTTTGCCATCACCCATTATTTGATTTCATAAGACTATATATGCAACAGAAGTAAAATAAGTATATCTTACATTTTCTATCTAAAATTGTCAAGCAATGTTCCCAAACATACGAAAAATAAATAATGTCCAAGTAAACTATTATCCTTATCCAAATTAATGAATGTGGATCCAAATTAATACATATGATATATATATATAT